CTGCGCGAGCATGGCGTGACATGTAAGTCATTTCTATGATCTAAATGTATAACCTTCTTGACGATGGCTCTCGACCAATAAACGCGTGAGAATTTCTAAGGTTATCGTAAAGAACAAAATTTTACGGTATCTGATTGGTTGAAAGTGGCAAGAATTCCTCAGACCAATCACAGAGCAAAGGAAAAAAAATCTTCTGCAATCCCAGTTTGTTTTCGACATTAAGTTGCAAATAACTTTTTCCACTCCATACCTACCTTGTCTTCCGTTTGCTAGTGATGTTATACATCAAGTTCAGGATGCGAATGGCACGAGCCGAAGAGGTGGCCTGGGGATGATATACTCCTACAAAAAATAAGCAGAAAACAGATTCAGTGGATAAAAACTATTTCACCAGTTTTTACTGACCAGTAACTGTAAGGCATAGCGTTCCTGTTACTGCTTTCATTAAGTTCCTCAATTTTGGCAAACATTACTAATCCTGGGCACAAGTTGACACATGTAAAAGAGCCCTCCCGCTACTGACACAATAGAAAATGAAACACGCCAACAAATTCAAAAAATTTGTAATTAAAGAAACAGTGCCCTACCTTTTACAAGGTGTATCATCAGCGCAAAGTGGAAATTGTTTGAAAAGTGAAGGCCAACGAAATGGTCCATTTGCTTACAGTGAAACTCTAGCAGAGGTTCTTCGCGTACCGCCATGAGAACTTTGTCCACCGACTGTAGAAAAAAGAAAATAAGGACAAAGTGTAAGCCAAGTCATGTCTTAAACAAAGGTGTCTTCTCTTTTAATGCGTAGATGGTAGCGTGGCCGTGTGGTCTAAGGCGCTGGTTTAAGGCACCAGTCATTTCGATGGCGTGGGTTCGAATCCCACCGCTGCCAATATAGTATTTTTTAAACTTTTTATAAAAATAATCTCTAGATTTGATACAAGCATGGGGAAAAGACGAGGAGTCTCTGGCGGCAGAACTCACGATTACATCCCTATTATTTTACGAACCTCTGATTCTAAGGCACCATGTGTTTCGAGTGATATGATGCTCTGCTCCAAAAGTGCCAAACCACAAGGATACAGAGACAGTTCTGACAGCTGAAATGAAAAATGAACACGAAAGAATTAAGAGTGAGCTATATAAAGATTTAACAGGTCATAAACAATTTCAGTGCCTTCACCTGAAGCACAGCTACAGCAATCCAGAAGAATGCCTTGTGGAACATGGAGTCCTGCAAACAAGAATATACACTGACTAGCGTGTCACAAAAAATGTCATAAAAACAGACAAAATGAGATGATGCGACAGGCCGACAGACAGAGAGTAAGGGAGTCAGACAGCAGACATAACGACAAACAGACTGAATGACTGACAAACACGAAGACAAACAGACAGACGGACAGACAAAGAGTGAGAGACAAACAAACTGGACGTGACTGTCCAACTGCCTGGCTGCCAGACAGACAGACAGAGAGTGAGACACAAGCAGATGATAAAAAGACAAACAAAATTGAATACATGGCTGACTGGCTGACTGGCTGACTGGCTGACTGGCTGACTGACTGACTGACTGACTGGCTAGTTAACTAGCTGACTGACTGACAGCCAGACCGACCGACAGACAGACAGACCCAAACAGAAGACAGACAGACAGACAATCACACCAACTCCGACGACTGACCAGCTGACATAAAAATAAAGACAGAAAGCCCGACGGCTATCAACAGAAAGATAGAGAAACAGACAAACAGAAACATAGATACATAGACACACTGACCAATCGTCAACAGATTTGAAATAGGCTAAGAAATTTCAGGCATAAGTGGGTCAATCTTTTGGCATTAAAAGCCTTAAATAAGCTCTGCTATCTGTGGGATTTCTAGCAGAGTCTGACAAAGATTTGTTATGCATGACTCAACTCACCTTACTAAGAATCACCTGAAGCCTAGAGAGACANCTGCGTTGGTAGGTTGCTTTAAAAGCCTTAACAGCTGGTGTCTTCACTTTTGAGATGCCTTTAGTTGAGAGCGAAATGATTAGTTGGCATGTAATTAAAAACAAAAAAAGAAAAAAAAAGTCCGTCTTAAAATTGCCACACTTTAGGAGAATTTGATATCAAATCAAGGTAACGCCCTCTTGCTGATGAATTCCTCGACTTTTATCATCTCTTTGCTAGTTAACCTTTCATTCCCAGATCTAAATAGTAATTCTCCTTACTTTCTGCCATACAATTCTTATGACTTCAGCTCGGAGAATTTGGTATTGGATCAACTAATAATCCCCTAATTGATATTTTTCTTTATTCTCATCACTTGTAAGCTTGATATTGTATTGATATTGTAAGGAGAAATTCTGTCTTGGTCACTTACCAAAAAGAAGATAAAACTTGGGCGACGACAGCTCGGCTAGCCGCATACGAAGAAGCCGGTGAGTTTCGTCTAAGAAAACAAATTCAGGTAGAAGCTCAATAAATAATAATTTACTGTATAGAACAGAGAAATATCCTGCTATATATCTTAACCAATCTTTCCGTCTGCCCTGAATTTATTCAAATGGCCCACGCGCATGAAGTCCTGCTAAGACTGAGGAATATTCCAGTGGTATTCCAAAAGCGATCTCAACCAATTTTCAACGTCATGTCTGACGTTATTAATTCTCCATCACAATTTCAAGTTCACTGTGTTTGTACGGAAGAAGAGATTAACTTCCACGTTGTGGATGTCGTGCGAGACATTAGTAAGTTTTAGTTGTCGATAAGAGTACAGACCGCGCTAAACCACTGTTGATTTGTTAAATTCCTTGCGCTCTGAAAGGAAACATTTTTAGTGACAACGACACAGCAGCCTCCATTTGGCCTCCGTGTTTGTTCATTTATCCTTAGACAAGCCAATGCTGTTTGCTTTTCGGAAGAAACTAAGGTAAACAATTGTCCCAAGCGAGTCAATCTCTTTAAGCGCATTTCAATTTAGCGTCCTAAAACGAAAACAGCCTGTCAGAGCTGAGGACTATATCGCAAGGAGTGAATGAGAGCTGAAAACAAGTAAACAACATCTAGCACAGAATAAATACTGGTGACCAAGTCGCGATTGGTTTTATTTTTGAATCTGGCTGGTTGAGAAAGTGGCTCTTATTCTCTGGCCTAATCACAGGGCGAAGGAAAGCAACACAGCGCAATCCCTAGTTACTTTAGCCAACCGATCATGAATTGTTCTATTTGTCCTTAAACATTAAAACAATGCTTCCCTAAGCTCTGGTTGTTTAAGCTTTTCCGAAGAGATAATGTCTCAGGACAAAATCCCAGCATATTGTCACACAAAATAGAGGCCATTGATTATTCAAATACTAAGTTTTATGCACTCACCACTGAACTTGATACAAGAACATGTACAGAGAGACTGGATGATGTTAATGACCAAGCCATGAATTGAGGCTCGGATGGTTGGCGGACCGGTGGAGACGAGAAGAGTAACGAGGTGAAACAAGTATGGGATATGACTGGCAACTATAACCAAACAAACAAACAAACAAATAAACAAATAAGGAACGAGGGACATCAGAGCGATTTTTTTATCGAGTGGCATAAAACCAAAAATAAAATGGTTGTTTACAGAAATGAAGGTTGTTTTTTGTTATACTAAAATGCTACCCCGAATAGCGTGTAAATGGTAGCGTGGCCGAGTGGTCTAAGGCGCTGGTTTAAGGCACCAGTCATTTCGATGGCGTGGGTTCGAATCCCATCGCTGCCAACATTATTCCACTTTTTATTTCAATTTTCTAGAAAAATCGCATGGCGGTGCAAAGTAAAAACCAATGTAATACTGGACTACTTCTGACATTCCATTAAAAATTTCTCTATTTGGGTTAGGGAACGGATGCAAGACAAACTACTGCTATCAAAAGAAGTTCCTTACCGTCAAGACAGTCGTTGAAGGAAAGCATAAGCAGATATCTTGTCAAGATAGCAATATCGTCCCACATGAGGTGTTGTTCAAGACGGACGGTGGGAGAAATGAAGGTCTTGCTGATTAACTGAGAACAATACGGGTGGAAAATAACGCTTTAGAGGAAACTGGATACTCAGCCTTCTGAAGACAAACCCTGATCAATAACAAATAATCCTATAATTTTTACCACGGTATCTTTTCATTTAGACGGTCTGGTTGAACAACAAGAATTCGTTTTTACCAATGTACATAGATAGTAGAAGTCCACTCTATAATTATGAACACGCGCACGCCATGCGCAGTCTCAGGCGTTTTCATTAACTAGCAGTTTTGAAATTGGCTATTGTCGGTGTCTGCGATATTTTGTAGTCAAAACTCTGGCCTCTTCCTAGAGTAGCCCACGTGAAGACGAGAAAACTGAGTCGTCCTCAGGGCGATTTGATTGAATTTGTCCCCCTGTCCGCTCCTGGGATGGAACTAGGGGACAAATTCAACCAAATCGCTAGAACCATTTCTGTCATTTATCAGAACAGCCTGTTCTATTTACGGATGGAAAAGTCTAGTAAGCCGGTTCTGACAAATAGTTTACGTCGAGTTTTCATATCTACAATGACCAAGTCAAGTCACCGAAGGAGAATGCATTACCGAGTCGAGCCTTCCAATAACCTTGCGTGACACAATTTGCACATTAGCTGACGCCAAAGCCACTGCAGTATCTGCCATGACTTCTGCCTTTACAGAACCCAGGCCTCCTGTGGCACTGGCCTGAAAGATAACAAATTCATTAAGACGCATCCAATAAGACAGAGAAAATCAAAAGATGTTTGGACCATGTACGCTTGAAACAATTGGGCAGGAAATTCAAAGTATCACAGCGTGACCTCTTGTACAACAGGATCAACATCAGTGTCTATTAAATTGCGCACCCACCGCTCCCGTAATCCAACGATAACTTTATCTTGTTATAAGTTGACCGTTGTCGGACCAAGGGAGGGGAGGGGTAGGAACGCATTTGCTAGGAAAGGGGTATTGACCGATATTTCCTCGCTAGCTCCCCTCTTCACCCCCCACCCCCACCCCCTCCCAAAAAAACGGAATTGGAGTTGACCAAAGCAAATCATAAAAAGGAACTGTGGTTCCTTGACAATTTGCTTTAGGCTGTTTCCACATTTCATGCCTTTTAGGTGTACCTAGTATTCAGAATTATTGAGAGCAATGTATGTATTGCGGGTTTCCAAGATAGAGAGTTTCAAATGAATAAAGGCTGTTAGTTTCGAAAGAAACTGTTTGGGGCTGCGTCGGTGGGAGTAACGAAATAATTTGGATATATCAACAAAGTTGAAATGGTAAATTGGCCACCGTAACGATTACAAAAGCTGACGTTTCGAGCGTTAGCCCTTCGTCGGAGCGAATAGAGGAATTGTGGGTTGTGTGTGCTTTTAAAGGCAGAAAATGGAGCTACGTTATTGGTGGGAACATGGCAACGAGAAAAACA